GGCCTGTTTTATTCATTTAGTTTTGTTTTCATTTCTCAATTTTCTAATCTCTGAACCCACATTGAAGTCAAGAGCCTTAATGAATGGATAGACTAATTTTCCATGCCTTCCAGCTCCCCCTTTACAAACAAAGGCCTAGAGATACTATTCAAGTGCTTAAAGTGCTGCAAAGCAGATATGGTTATTATGCATCAGTGCAGAGTATATTAGAGCACTTTTGCTGGAATGCAAACAAATTCTCACTGGAAAGTGAGATAGTCACGGTAGCATCTTGGCTACACATTCCCTTGACAATCAACCACAGCTTATGCAAAAGAGGAGAGATGTCTTTCTTATGCCTTTCTTGTGGAAACACAGCAAACCCTGGGTGCCCGAAACTGCAGGGACTAAATGCAAATACATGCAGCACAACTCAATAGCAAGTTCTTCTGTGCAGATTAAATTTGTGTCCCAGTCTGGGCATCACGCTTTACACAGAGGGCAGTGTGGAGTTGCTAGCATAACCATGCTTCCAACCGGAGTTCAAAAGTTCAGGCAGTTGTATTGACTCATATTTTTTAAAAAATCAGTTCTGTATGTTTTCTTCTCCTGGGGAGCAGGTCTTATGCAAGTCGAACCAGTCTTAATTGCCTGTTCAAGCCATGGAGATGTTCAAAGCTTATGCTGTAGACATATTGCTAGCATACAATGCTACAGAGCACGCTTGTAGAATGCGTTTTCCCACAAGAGTATTTGCATGAAATTTCAGGAAGCAAATGAAGAGAAGGTTTGATCCTTAGCATGTAGGGTGTATTGATCCCAGACTAAACTAAGACCAGGCACAGTTACACTAGAACAACCAAAATTAGCTGTCTCTGCTGCTAAGGAAAGGGGACATGCATTTTAGCTCTGAGCTAGCAGGCAAATATTGCCCTATAGCAGCAGTACATTTTAAAGAATTCCCCCTTGAAGCTGTTGGCTTGAAAAATAGTTTGCATTTTGCAAGGGAGATATCTGGGCATAAGGAAACCTCAGCAAGATGTTTGGGTAACACATGATACAGCCATTCATCTTGTTAGTCTCTGGGAGAGATCATAAGGCATCTTTACCGGAAACCATATGTAAGAACTGCTTTTGATGACCTTCAGTGTTTCTCCGAAAGAACATGCTTGGGTTCAGCTTCATCAATGGACAGCAGTGTTATGCAAGATAGAAATAATCCAAGAAAGAAGGGCACTTGGAGTTTCTGCATCATGTGAAAGATTTTGTCCCTTGTTTTAAAAAGGAGGGTGAAATGAAAGGAATGTTGGCTGGTGAAACAAAAGTTCAGTGTTACAGACCTGGGAGGGCGTCTGTGTAACGAATGGGCCACCTCACGTTGCATGCGTTCCGCACATCACGCTTCCAAACAACTGTGCAAGAGAGAGCTCTGAGAACTGCCAGGGTGGTCCATGGTGGGTCTGGACTCCTGACGGAACCTAGCAGTTACCTTTGCAAACTCACCTTTCTGCCACATGCTGCTTAGCACAGGGGTGTTTAATCTCTGGCCCCTGGGGTTCCACCCTGGCCTCTGTCGTTCCCTAGGTGGCCACCTCATCCCCTTGGCTCCACACTTTTCTGCTCAGCCATGATTGTGTGACAGCTTCCCAGATATTGTTCTTGTTATGATTATTATTTATCTTATTTCTGTGCCACCCTGTATTCATTTATTAGGTATTATGTATTTATTAGATTTATACCCCACTTTTTCCTTATGAATGCAAAGTGGCTTACACCATTCTCCCCGTTGCTCTCAGTCCTGTCCGCACAACAACAACCCTGTAAGGGAGGTTGGGCTGAGAGTCTGTGATTGGTCCAGAGTCATGCAGCTGGCTCCATGGCTGAGCGGAGTCTCGTAGAACCCAAGTCGCCTGCCCCCTGGCCCCACACTCTTAACCCTTGCAGCACAGTGGCTCTCTGTGTGGTTTACAAAGGTGAATAAAACAAAGTAATAAAATGCAATGCAAACATCATAAAAACAAAGCAACATTAAAATGAATTTAAGATGAGTTTGAAATAGCTAAAAACATCCAGTAAAAATAACTCTGCAAAGGAAAAGAATTGTCTGGATAATCCCCTTGGGTAGCCAAGGGGATCTTTAAGGCTGCTCTCTCAACCTGGTGCCAAAAAGATGGCAGGTTTGACACCTGGTGGGTCCCAGTGGGGTTTGTTCCAAAGATGGGGTGCAGTTACCTCCACCCGCTGCAGAATAGAGGAGATGCTTCCCCAAGGGCTGGGTTGCTGGATGCAAAAGCTTTAATAGGGTTGGACTTAGTGAGCACCACTTTTGCCTTCAGCCCCACCCACTGCTGGAATGTGGACCCTGAGAACGTGTCCGAAATTAAATCCATCTCTCAGACCGGAGGAGGCCCAGCTCTGCAACTCAGCTTCAGGTATCAGGTAGAGCCGGTGCAAGCTCTAAGGGCAAACCGCCCTTTGGGACAACAGCAGAACTAACGATGGTTTGGGGTTATGTCTGCGTCAGAGCCAGCATCAGGCTTAGGCCTGGCCAGCCGCCTGTCAAGAATCTGTGCTGTTGGCAGGCCCGGGAGTTCCTGTCCTTTCCACCTGCTCTCCTCCCTCCTGTCCAGGCCCAGACAACCGGGCAGTGAGTGAGAATAGATGTCACCGCTGCTGACAATGGTGGTGAGAGGACAGTCGCACTGAAGGAGGTCTCTGGGGGGTTCTCTTGCCACAAGGACCCCAAAAACCTGGCTGGAATCAACTCTATGACCTGAAGACCTCAACAGCTGCGCCTCCGTCAGCAGTATTTCTGCACTTTGCTTGCACAATAAAGTTACAAGCTGAGTGTTTGCCCAGTGCTAGAGTTAAATTTTGACCTGATGGCAATGACCTGTCATACAAACAGCATCCAAAAGGGATGATCCATTGTTTTCCACCATGGACGTGTCTGCTGCCAGTGTGAAAGGAACATGCTGTAAGGAAAGCTCAGACTCTTTCCGGGAAGAAAACCACACCTGCCGTCCAACGCCAGCTTTTTCATAGTTACGTCTGCTTCTATCATAGAAAAGCGTGGATTAATTTTCTCAGAGTCTCAGTGCATCTAGTGGTATTTCACCAAGCCACGCTGTGGATGGGCTTTAAAAAAAATCAACCAATAAAATTGATTTTAAGATGAGGTTTTGCCAAGTAATAGCTTTTCCAACGATCTGTTGTAGAGTGAATATCTGTACGCATCGTGATCTGCTAGGGTGACCTAATTTGGTCTATTTCTTCAGAACGTATTGTCTATGGTCCTCCCATTTTATTTAGCTTCACAATTAGCATCTTTTCCTCCCCAAGACTGGGAAAAGCATATCTTGGATATGAACACCCATATTTCTGCTTAGTGTCTATAATACCTTCTCCCCCATCTGCAGTCACAACTGTTTGTTCTTTCCAAGACCCAAGCTCTGTGCAGCCTCTTTCAACCTTAAGACCAAATCCATTTGGAGAATCCTCTCAGGGACACAGTCTTGGGTGGGAGGAGCCAAAGGCAAACGGGGTGGAGTCAAAATATTAAATATCCTTGCATGCTTTAGTTGAAAGCCCTTAGTTTAAAGAGACACAGTTTCATCTTTTAAAATTGGGGTGCAAAGGAGGCTACACCATGGCCAGGAAACCACCCAGAATTAGAGAGACAGCAACACAGCCAAGGGAGGGCCACCTTGGGAGTCCAGGTGAACCATATTTGTCCCCTGAGCCTGAGGCCTGCCTTCGCCACGCTGTAGAGACCATGGGGCACATCCAAAGAAATGTGCATAGAATGAGTGCAGCAAGTATTACTGTTCTGCAACAATGTACATGCCTCAGTGAGAACTAGTGGAATGCCAAATGCTTTGTCAAATTATCATACAACTTATCTGTCAGTACTTTGACTGTGCACAGTTCTTAGTGGGAAGCAGCTGCTCAGGACTGGCGGACTGGTGATGTGCTTTCTCTTAAGAGAGTAGGGTTTGCTTTTTGTTAGGAGCTTTGTGGGGGGTGGGGGGGGGGGTTAAACTGGCCATGCAAGTCCTGCTAAGGAGCTTTCCAGTGGAGAATTGAAGGCACCCCAAATTCTAGGGCTCCCATTTATGCATTTCTGTAATCATTTTTTGCACTTTTAAAAACCTTCAATAACCCATGCTTTCTGGGAGGTATGCAGCACACAGGTATACAACCCTAAAAGGTAAGTATAGAATCCTAAAAGGCAAACCATGGATAAAAATAGTGCCTCATCAAACCGGTGGAAAACTTGCAACACAGTAAAAGAGTTCTAAGTTCTAAATGCACTAAAAATAGTTGGAGAGTCAAAAGGTTTGCACCTGTCCCTGAAAAAGCCATCCTGTAGGTTCAAGGCAAGCCCACCTGGGGAGGGATTCCATGCCGGGCGCTACTGAATTCCATACCTGGGATTTAGGCTATAAAAAGTCAAAGATAAAGGGAAGATCTTACAGTTACAGACTAGTGCTTTTGACATGGAACTAACAGAAGCCTAACACTAGTGTGACAACAAGAATCCTTGCTAACATGATGGGTTTCCAGGGAAGCCTTTTTTTTTAACATTATTTATTAAAATTATGTCCTGCCTTTTTTCCTGCAAGGAACCCAAGGGCGCCTGCTTTTTCCCATCTGCACAACAGTCCTCTGGGGTTGATGAGGTCAGAAGTCAGCGACTGACTCAAAGTCACCCTGGATGAGTGGAGGCCAGAACCTGGATCTTCCCAGTTCCAGGGCCACCACACCTCTCTGGATCTATATGTTCCGTTAGCACTGGTCTCTGGTAGGGCACTGGCGAAAGCACAACCCATGTATACCTTGTGGGGATCGGTCTGGTCACTGAGACAATTTTCAGGCAGACCAGATATCTGGCATCCTGTCTGGACCCAGAAAATGACCAGATTGAAAGACTGCCGATCAAATTCAATATTGACTCGGCAATTCGGTGTGAAAGAAATTTACAGAAATTGCATTTATGAAGTGTGTTTTTGTCATTGCAGGTCAGGAAAGATTTGGGAACATGACGCGGGTCTACTACCGAGAAGCTATGGGAGCGTTTATTGTCTTCGATGTTACAAGGCCGGCAACCTTTGAGGCGGTAACCAAATGGAAGGAGGATTTGGATGCTAAGCTGACTCTTCCCAACGGCAAACCGGTGCCGACGGTTCTCCTGGCAAACAAATGTGACCAGGGCAAAGATGTGCTTGTCAACAATGGCATCAAGATGGAGCAGTTCTGCCAGAAGAACGGCTTTGTGGGATGGTTTGAAACATCAGCCAAGGTAGCAGCATCTGTGTTATGTTAATGAAAAGCTGGCTGGGGGATGCTGGGAGTTGTAGGACTTTCCTTCAGTTTAAACATGCATAGGATGTCTGAAAACTCAGTGACACACTGAGCATTTCACAGCTTTTGATGGTTTTTTTCACTTTTCAGATTTTATTTTATTTTATTTAAAACTTTTCTACAACAAACAAACAATTTTAAAGATTATCCCCAGAATATTCATACACAAATATTATCTTAGTGCAAGAAATGTCAGAAATGGAACAATTTCAGAAAACTGGAGGCCAAATCCAATCCAATATTGTATCCAATGTTAGTCCTATTTACGATAGGCCCATTGAGATGGATGGGGCTTCAATTAGATTAACAATGTGTTATAGTGGTTAGAGTCAGACCGGGAAATGGGAAATCTAAGTTCTGGTCCCCATTCAGCTATGAAGCTTCCTGGGTGACTTTGGATCAGTCCTTGATTCTCAGCTTAACCTTCCTCACAGGGCTGCTGTGAAGATACAATGGAAAGGAAGAAGAGGCTTTTGTAAACCACCTTAAGTGCCTTGCAGGAAAAAACAGTCAGATATACATTCAGTATAATAAATAATTGCATGTATTGTGTTCTAGGAAAAGCAGATTTTGCAAGCCTTTGTGTCTGCCCACTTCAGACCATGCCTTGTATGCATACAAGGGTGTATTGCCTGGATTTACTGAGTGTCGTGTCCAGGGCTAATCCATTGTAGAGCAGATCCATTCAGATTGATAAGATTTAAATTCAGGGATGCCTGCAGAATCCATTTTGGGGGTGAGAATCCATTGGATTCCTGGACTCAGCTCTCCAAACTACTTTCCCATGGCTGTGCAACTGGACAGCCATCTGAGAGGGATGGTTTAACTGGGAGTCCTGCATTGAGCAGAGGGCTGGATCCAATGGCCCTCTGGAACCTTCCGACTCTACTATTGCATGATTCTATGAATCCAGCTTCCTGATGAACATGTCCAGCATTCCTCACCAGGAACTAAGCCCTGTGCCTTCGTTCTGCAAGCATTCGACTCTTTTTTTCAGACCAGGTCAAGCACAAGAGGAAATCGACAAATACTAGGAGGACAGTTTCCATGGAATTGCCTCCCATCCCTGCTTCAGTTTATCATAATTCTCCTTCCTTACAGGGGGTCTATTCCACATAGGACGAATATGGAACACCACCTTTAGTTCCAACTGCTCAGAGTATATTTTGGTCCCCCTTCCATCCGGTAATGCAGGATTCTTTGTGTCAAAATTGCTCTGCAGTCAATATTTAACATGGTTATAGCAGAGGTGTAGCCTCAGCAGGGGTCATGGCAACTTCCAGCAGTGGCTTTCCAGATGTGCCACCATCTGACCCCTGATTGTTGGAACTATCCTGCAGATGGAACCAGGCTAAAGCTGTGTGGGTCTGAACCCACAGAAGTGCCTCCAGTCTCAATTATAGTGAGGTTGCAAATTAACTTTGTTTTTTAAGTCCTAATTACATCAGACTCTTAAATAACTGTATCAGGTCTCTGGTGTATTTTGGCTAGTGGCAAAGTAAAGCCAGCCACTATGGAGTCGATAAAAATAACTCTCCTCATGCATTCAATGGAGAAAGATGCAGCTTTTTCTTACAGCAACCTCTCCAGCCCAATCCACAGCTGGCCCATTGAAAGTGAGAAGCTGCAGGTTCAAGACAGGCTGAGATTCTTGGTTATGCCTAACTTGGAAAACTCTTTGCCATAAAATGCAGTGATAAGTGGTAGCCTCTTATTGGGGGAATTTAATGGATCTGGCACAGTCTTGAAAGGCAGATGAGCTGCAACGTCAGCTAAGAACTGAACTCAGGCTGGAGGCATTGGGTTGGGTCCAAAGGTCCCGTCTCCCTGCAGCAGCAAGAATTCCTTCTGCTTGTGAAAGCTTCTGCTGCTGCAGAAAGGGAACCTTTGGAACCAAGTCAATATTGATGTACTGATTTTGGTAATTGATAGGCTGCCTTTCACAATACAAATCCTTCTATGGTGGTTTACAAATAATATAAAGAGAATACAATTGCCAAGAGCAGTATTAACAAAGACAGACCGGCTGGGAATGCGCTGGTGTTTTGGATCATCAGCATCTGCCTTCCTTTGTCTCTTGGAATCTTTCAGACAGGGCAATGGATGATAGAGGCCCCTGGGGCCAGGGAGGGGAATTAGAACTGGAAAGCAGGCCTGGAAGGTTTCTCCACCTGGAAGGTTTCTCCTTTCTGTCCTGGAAGATAACTCAGGTTCCTACAGGCTCAGGGAAGCAACAGGGGAAGGCTGTGACCATCCTGGCCTCCTTCCAGGCTTTCCTGGCGCAGCTGACTGGCTGCTGCTAAGGGTGGTGAAGCTCAGGGTGAAGCTCAGGCCAGCTGTCATCTGTGTAAGGGCCCTCCTTGCTTGCTCAGATCTGCACATTCCAAGCCCAGTGGTCGTGGTTTGAACATCAGGGAAGTGGCGCTTGGGAGAGAATTCTAACTAGCGGCCTACAAATCTGTTGTTTCTCTTTCTCTTGCTTTCTCTTTTTTCTTTCTTGCCTGTATATTTTGATAAATGCCTGTAAAAGTCAACCAAAATGAAACTCTTGCCCATTTGTATCAGCCACTTTCAATAGGCACAGCTATTCCTGGCATGGAGAATTTGGTAATGTACAGACCTACCATATGGCTGTTAAAACGTAAGACCTCAGAAAGAAAGCCATCTAATTCCAGACCAATACAGAGATGCAGGAACAGACTTTTAAAAACGAAGTACTCCAAGCCCAGACCTGGGCAAACAAATGTCAGTTTTGATATCTCCTGCATTCAAAATTTAGAAAGGTGCAGAGGAGAGCAACAAAAACCATCCAGGGTTTGGAACACTGCCCTGTGAGGAGACACTGAGAGAAATGGGCATGTTCAGCCTTGAGAAGACTGAGCAGGGCATGATATCCCTCTGTAAGTACTTGAAAGGCTGTCACACAGAGGAAGGTCAAGATCTCTTCTTGCTGATGCCAGAGTATAGGACACGGAACAACCAGTTCAAGCTGTGACAACTCAGATTCAGGCTAGACATCAGGAAGAGCTTCCTCACTGTCAGAGCAAAGCGACAGTGGAACCAGTTGTCTGAACAGATCATGGGCTTTCCCATACTAGAGACATTCAAGAAGAAACTGAGTGGGGTGGCGTAAATTGGTGTCCTGCAACAGTAGGAGATTGGACCTGATGGCCTTTTTAGCCCCTTCCAACACTACTGTTCCACAATTCTATGGGTCTGTTCCTCCCCCCCCCCTTTTTTTTTTTAAATCTCTCATACTTTTTGCTCTGAATATGGAGAACTTGACAAATATGGGGAAATCCTTACCAAAACCAAACTGGAAAGGAATTCTCACTTGTCATGAAGCTCAGGATCTACTAGGAGGGGTCTGGGACCTCTGGGATTACCACCATCATGGAGATGGAGGCAGACCTTCCCCACCAAGCCGTTCATAGACAGGAACTTTGGGGTGGGAGGGAAGACTCTGCCAGAGGCCTTCTCATATGAAAAGTCTGGGATGAAACCTATCAGCATCCATCCCTCAGGCTTCATGAATTTCTTCTCATTCTTGGTCCAATCTTGGAAGCAAACTAAGCTGAGAGAAGGTCCATGAATGCTCATAGAATGAAGCTTGTGCCACCAGCAACCTGCAGCTGTATAACCTGGTGCAAAAGAGGGATCTTGCTGGTGCAGTGGTCAGGCAGGGCTCCATTCCTGGTGAGCCTCACAGGACCAGCTTTCTTCTGTATCGGGTGCAGCAGCACAAATGGAAGAGGAGAACTGCTTGCACAGGAGTGGGGCTCAATTCCTGGTGAGCACCTTGCAAACCCTGGGGGTTCTTGCCACAGACTTGGACTCAAGGCTGCTGCAAAGGAAACCGAACCAGGGAATCTAATGGATGCTCCTTCCCAAAACAGATTCCTCACACATGCAGGAAGCCTATTCACAGATGCTTTTCAGCTGCTGTCTGTAATTACTGAGGCTTCAAGGGGCTCTTCATAAAATGAGCAGCTCAAGGCTGAGAGAGTTACCAGAAACAGCATCAGCCAGACCTTCCTGAATCCAGTTTCCCTTCGCTTGTTGCTGGGCTGCTTCCTTGATGGATACATGGCGTGAGTCCTTCTGGACTGACCTCTGGCTCTCCTCTGGCTTGTCTCTAGCCTGCTGGGTTATTGGGGGTCTTGGTTCCCAGTGTCCTGGTCCACTGAGAGCTTGCTTTTTCCTTGAGCCCTGATTGGGCTCACCACCTTGGAACTCTTGGACCCTTGGCCCTGCAATGGCTGGAAATGCAACACCACCCATCCCTACTTTTAACACTTCTCCACATTTCCTCTTTATAAATACCCAGAGCTGTCATTAATAGTGTGCCCAAGTAAGACAGATCCATATGCTCTTCTGTTCTTTCTCCCCTGCTGCCCTGCATAGCTAATAGCAGCTTCAGCAGGGAGAGGTGCAATTTACAACAGGGAAAAGGCACATGAGAGAAGCAATGAAAGCCTCCCAAGAGCATCGCAGTCTCTTTGTTCGAAGCAAAAGAAGCAGCAATATTAAAAAATGGGGAGAGGGAGGAATCCTCATCAACAGTCTCTTGCACTAGATCCGGTTTGGCCCTTCATTCCCTCGCAGTTGAAAAGAGGTTATAGTGCTGCTGCTTCTGTAATTAGTTCTCTGGAGACTTAAGGGAAAGTGCTTGGAAATGCTATAGATTTCAGAATGAAAGATACTTCTTGGCAGGAACAGTCCAGACATAAATAGGTGAGCTCAGCCTTCAGTTCTGTACACTGGGTCCCATGATAATGCATCTCCAAGTTCTTTGAACTTTTCCTACAGCCAGAGGCAAGTCCAAGCTGTCACCCATTCTAGCAAGCATGGTACAGTCCTGCTCTGGAAATCACTCTGGGTTCTGTTCCCTTTCAGATCATGTTGTTTGGTAATACCGATTTGTTAGCTTCCTGACCT